CTGTAATGGTATATAATATATTATATTATATAATAATATATTATATATTATATAATAATATAATATTATATAATATATAATTAAATATGTATTATTGAGGTATATATTACGACAGCAAATACAATACTATCATTTAAATTCAATTACATTCATAACAAAAAAATGAGTTTCCATAAAATTAGTGTCCGTTCTCAAAATTGAATAGTTTTCAAAAATATATAATTTGTTTAGGTTGAAGTGCAATGAAGTCAGGTTCATGTTAATCGTACATATTACATACCATAATATAACATATCACATTATAACATATCATAGCGCAACTTATCATGAGGTTAAAATGCACAAAAAAATTTTTAGTAAAAGTGTGTATGAAACGTGGATTAAGAACCAAAGAGGGAAAAGCTACGTGAGCCTGAAGAATTGAATGAATAACTACTGTAAATATCTTAAATAATTAATGTAATAGTTTGGATTAAGCTTTACAAGTTATCTGAAACCCAAATCCGTGTGATGATCTGGCCAATGCTGAGTAAGAGCATCACAATTTTTGCAAACATATGATAATTTTTGTTAATGTATTATATTGAATCGCAATCCTCATGAATTTTCTTCATACCTACCAATAAATAATTCACAGGTTTCTTTATTATAGAATTGATACATTTATGCTAACGCCATCGGCTTAGTCAACCCATTTGAGTTAGCCGACAATGCAAGATCACTAACCCAAAAAAGGGCCACACGTTACATACGTCATATATATCTGTACAAACATTTAATAAATGCTAACAAATATCGCTTACTATACGATCAAGTGACTGAGATCTAGTACATGTGATCTATAAACCGAGATCTAGTACATGCGATCTATAAACCGAGATCTAGTACATACGATCTAGTAAGAGTAACCGAGATCTATTACAAGCGATCTAGTAACCGAGATCTAGTACAAGCGATCTAGTAACCGAGATCTAGTACATGCGATCTAGTAACCGAGATCTAGTACAAGCGATCTAGGAACCGAGATCTAGCACATGCGATCTAGTAACCGAGATCTAGTACATGCGATCTAGTAACCGAGATCTAGTACAAGCGATCTAGTATAAGCACTGGCCGAGAAAGATCGTCTTTTAAAGTCACTCTATAAAATTTACCGTAAAAGGTTTTCTTGGTACGCTAATCTTACAGTAGGTATGAAAATACATTCTCAAGAAACAGATTTACCAATTAATGCTATGAGAGCACCGCTACTACACTTTTAGCTATGAATAATCAGACTTAAAAAGACCGAATAATTAATTTTAGAATCATATATCTCAAAAACTCGCAACGTTGTATTTTTGTGTTTAATTATATAGTTTGGGAAAAATAGGTTCATGCAAATAGTTCATATAAATTATGTTACTGTGTATTGAAGAATGAAGGAAATTATAACACAGTTGGTATGAAAAAATTGCAGACAAAAACTTTTCAAATATACGCTTTGTCGAAATAATGGCCAAAAACTTGTTCAATAGTATTTGTCGTGCGGCCAAAAACAGCTTAGTTAGGCAAACCTATGGGAAAATAGACGACAAATTAGATTAAGTGTCAAAATTGTTCTGCTTGACAAATCACAGTTATATTTCTTCTGCTTTACATTAGTTTGAACTTCAAAATTTTAGTAACTGACAACTAATTCATACACGACTCTTTATAATGGAACGTTTTGCAAAGATTAAGTAAACAGAAATGCTAAGCTCACAGGTTGTAGAGATCTGAGGACTAGGCCTTTAATTCCGTTATGACTTTAGTAAAATCTTTTAAAGGTAATGTGGTAAGAAAAATTGTGATGTAAAAGTGTGAAAGTTTTACACGCATGATATATTAAAATGAAAATGGTTCATATACTGGCCACATATTGTAAATCATTATTGCAAGTCATCCCAAAATCCGTCGAAATGTTGGAATGACTTGCAATATTTCTTCATGATAAAATGACTTTATATTGTTCTCACAGACTCCTTCTCACTCTACTTTCCAACAGTTCATTCTATCAGTTCATGAAATAACTTAACATCATGAATTGCCGCTATAATGACTGAATATCGATATTGAATTGTCAATAATTCATGAAAATATGAGAACTTTAACAGTTTTACAAACCATTTTTCCTGATTTGGTCCAAAACGGCTCGTGCCAGGTTTTATTGACGAAACTTGAAGATCTCAACACAATTGATTGCTTAACCAACAATATAAAAAATGATTTTAAGCGCTACCTTCACGAAATAAACTTCATTATAAATAGCAAACAAGAATGGAAGTTATTTATCTGGCAATGAATTCGTAAATATCCTCATCTAAACAAATCAATATACATTAGACAAATGCGTTACTCCTTCACTGACTGACAAATGCGGCAGCCAAATTCAATCGTTAAATGAAATGAATTTTGAAAACGTTATTTCGTTACTAAAATAATCTTTACGTGGCGAATGATAATGAACAGTTGACAAATGCTCCCTTACTGGGTTTGCCTCCATCTTTCCATCAATTAAGACGCTATTATAAATCTACTTAAGTATATATTTGTTAAGTCGCTTCCCATTAAATACTCGTGTCTCGTCGAGAAACTAGGTTTGGGCATTATTCTACTTTAATATTATTTCTTTTAATGACAATTTTTTCCAATATAAAAGTAATTACGTTCTGTTTTAGTATCATCGATAAAATATAAATATCTTTTTATCTCATTAGATATTTTTCTCATCAAACAATCTAGAATATAAAACCTAGCATCCATTTGCGCAATCATGCGCATTTTATTAGCATATTATGCAATTTATCATTGGTTATAATGGCCTCTTATTTCTTTATTTTTTCACGGGGTGTGTCTTTCATATCTTCATTTTCCAAATTAATATTCTATATTAGCTTATATACAAAGGTATACATACTCAATACACACAAAATACAAGACAATAATACAACAGTTCTGTCCGGTATTATTATCTAGGGACTAGAATAAATCAGGTATTTCTGTACACGATACAATTAGTATGACTTTGTCTACTAAATAACTATTTCGTTACCATTCACAACTGGTATCGGTTAAATGATATAATTACCACATAAGTTAAAAGGTATAACTGTTATGATAGGGTCTGCTCAAATGTATAGTTACTGGATTAATTTAAATTCAAAGATATAAATTTTTATCACAATTTCAATTTAAAGATATAATTTACATGATAATCTTTGTTAAGCGAAAATATGATGATTGATGCTAATGAGCGACAATTGATATACAAATTTTTCTTTAATGATGTAAATGTGATTTATTAAATAAATTAACAAATGGCTTCCACTTCCATTATGATTATGTTTTCTCACTTATTTTTATTTACATATTTTTATTTCTTTTCAACTCTTACCGTAATCGGTCGTGCCGTCGGCGCGTCAATCAACAAATTCAATATGGACCTAATATTGGATCTGGCTAATATTAATTAATTATACATTAGTATTTTAGAGCACTTCCATACTCTTACATGAGTACAACTATGATTCTCATTCATCTCTCTTCATCTGAAACGACCAGTATAATCATGAAGCATACACTAAAAATTCTATATCCTTTTACAGACAATTCTTTTAAACTTAATGTTTAGAGGCTGTACATTCTCAAATGAAATTCTAAACAAATAAAGCCATACACGTGTCAGAAAAATCTTGGATTTGGAAAGTACTCATATTCTGAATTGCATGTTAATTCAGCAATTATTTGCTGCATTAGTTTTGGTCACACTCTATTTAAGCAATATTAATATTAGCTACGTAATCATTAAAAATTATTACAATATTTCGTGACTTGCGTACGCGAGGGACTAGTTATTTCACGGATTTTATAGCGTATATTTTTCAATTTCTTTTGTCTGATAAACCTAAGAAAAAATCTGATCCATTCACTGAGAAGCGCTTGCAAACAGAGATCAGTTTAGCCGATTGCTTTTAAACGCATGCGAGTAGTAATATGTTTCACCAAATTGCATTTACAATTATATATTATATAGGGCCAAGAGCTTTGCAAATGTATGAGTAGAAAGTAGAAGCCATGCAGGTAGATATCTGACACGTCCACCGTGTGTTAGGATGCTTATTGCACAAATGTTCACTGTAATCCAAATTGCAGCAGCAAACCAATACATTTGCAAAAGTCGAGGCCGTGTGAGAGTCAAGGATATTTCATTTCATGTGTATTCGTATACGTAGGAATATACACAGCAAAACTAAGTGACTCAAGCAATTATAATACGCAAGACTCGTACGAATAATACACGCCAGTAAGATATCGTGTAATTCGTATTTAGTATAACGAACCTACGAAATGTTGACTCGCACATCCTCAGTCACGAGCCTCGCGGATGTGGCTTCGAGATTTGCTCGTGGACGAAGAGGCACTCGTCGGGTGAGGCACCGCTTACCGGGTGAGGCACCGCTCACCGGGTGAGGCACCGCTCATCGGGTGAGGCACCGCTTAACGGGTGAGGCACCGCTCACCGGGTGAGGCACCGCTCAACGGATGAGACACCGCTCGCCGGGTGAGGCACCGCTCGTTGGGAGAGGCACCGCTCAACGGATGAGGCACCGCTCGCCGGGTGAGGCACCGCTCACCGGGTGAGGCACCGCTCACCGGGTGAGGCACGCTCACCGGGTGAGGCACCGCTCACAGGGTGAGGCACCGCTCACGGGGTGAGGCACCGCTCGCCGGGTGAGGCACCGCTCACGGGGTGAGGCACCGCTCACGGGGTGAGGCACCGCTCGCCGGGTGAGGCACCGCTCACGGGGTGAGGCACCGCTCGCCGGGTGAGGCACCGCTCACGGGGTGAGGCACCGCTCACGGGGTGAGGCACCGCTCGCCGGGTGAGGCACCGCTCACGGGGTGAGGCACCACTCACCGGGTGAGGCAACACTCGCCGGGTGAGGCACCGCTCACCGGGTGAGGCACCGCTCGTCGGGTGAGGCACCTCTTACATTTCCGTCGAGACCTGTTCAAGGATGAGGCACCGTTCGCCGGAAGAGGCCCTGGGCCTCTCACCGAAGCCTCCGAGTTTAGGCGATACGTCGAGCTCCTTGTACTCGGTGAGGACACCGGATGAGGCGCCGTTGAGGTGCTTGTGAGGCTGGAGGCACCCGCCGCTGCTGCCGCTCTCAGCCTCGTCCAGGCTCACGTGGCAGTCCACTTCTGCGCCGCTGCTGGCGACAAAACATAATAAATATTAATAAATAATTTTATAAATGGAATGGTAAAATGAAAAACAAAATAAAAAGTAAAAAATAATTTAAAAAATGGAATAGTAAAATGAAAAACACAACAGAAATAAATAAATAAATAAATGTAAAATGGAATTGTAAAATGAAAAACACAATAAAAATAAATTAATAAATAATTTTATAAATTGAATAGTAAATGAAAAACGCAATAAATATTAATAAATTATTTTATAAATGGAATTGTAAAATAAAAAAAACACGATAAAAATAAATAAATAATTTTAAAAACGGTATAATTGAATGAAAAACACAATAAAAATATAGAAATAATTTTATAAATGGAATTGTAAAATGAAAAAAAAAAATTAAATAAATAGGTAAAAGAATGGAATAATAAAATAAAAATAGTCAGATTGTATTTTCTGGTCTTTCGTTTCATTTTTGCTGTGATTAATTGAACAGCCAAAAATGCATAAAGAAAAATTGTATTGTTTCCAGGACGCACTTAGGACATGTGGCCTGAGTGGCCTCATCGCGTTGGCTCGCGTAGGTCACGTGAGCCTATGTGATATAATGTAGAATGACGTGGCATGAGATGCCTTGTTGACAGCTCATGGCAACATGCAACATGAAGCATGACCGTGTTGACAGCTCTAGGCAACATGCCACATGAAGCATGACCGTGTTGACAGCTCTAGGCAACATGCCACATGAAGCATGACTGTGTTGAGAGCTCAAGGCAACACATGATGACAATATTTTGAGTTGCCTTTAACATTTTGTTTAGGTAACATTTTGATTTACCATTTATGATACATCCAGGGCTTAAAAATATCAGATGCCGATTGAACAACATACCAATAAAAACTTGAATTAAAATAACGAACAAAAGAATGCACTAAAATCTTGATGCCATGATTCATGGCGTCAAGTAGTTGAATTAAAATGCATCCACTGAGCTGTTTTTTTTTCATTTTCGAATACTTGGCGGAAGTTTATTGGAAAATGTTTCAAACGGCATCTGATATTTTCAAGTCTTAGATGTATTATAAATGACAGTAAACCAAAATATTGCTTAAACAAAATGTTGTAGGTAACTCAAGATGTTGCCATCATGCAGTTGTTAAGAACTGTGTATGCTCTGCATGTGATAGGAAGTCATTTAAGTAAAGACATTTAAGTTGTTATATTATTTGACTGATAAAAGTCATTAAGAACAGTTGATACAGTTTGGTTTGATATTTAAAATTGATATTCCATGAATAATAAATATCACTTTATATCTAGTGCACCATTTCATTGTAAAAATATAGGATAAAAAAGGCAACGAATCCAGTATGAAAAACTTTTTCTTTGGCTCTCTAGATTCACTGCTCGTGCTTGGTAAGTTTTGTGCTGACCGTGAGAAGTCAGGTCACAGTTTATGCGAACTAACTTGCGTGGAAGGATCAACCTCAGAAGAGCCAATGTTTGTGCAACGTTGCATAAAAAGTTCTTCAGAGTAAAGAGGAAAATTAACCCTAGAAATAATTGATCAAAAGATGAGCTTGGGCAAAATTTCAGTAATTTGGTTTGTGATCTTTTTTTTCAATTAAATAAGTTGAGTACCGGTATACGTGGATTCCTTCAGTTTTTGCGAAAAAGGGGTTTGAAATGGAATTTTTTAACATATGATGGTCTTTTAATTCATATTCTTATGATAATTTTTGCAACAAATTCAATTGAGGTGAATACAAGGCACTTTCTTACTTGGTTTATTATGAATTATAAATTCATGATTGAGAATGCAGTTTTATACATCTAATTGATTCATACATCTATCATTTGCCATGAATTACCTCGAAAAATGTATCCTTTTTAATTCTGTAATTATTAAAGGATATCGTGATATTTGAATAAAAATATATCAATGTATAATGATATAAAATAATAACATAAGACTGGCTTACTTAGATTTTTTAGAAGAAAGTCTAGCAGTGCACGAAAAGCTTCCCGCCCGATCCTGCGTGTAGCAGCGCCTGCAGCAGCAGCAGCAGCAGCAGACCAAGCACGCAGTCACGGAGCACCCGCTCGTCTGTTCCGTGGACGAGTTAGCGGAACTTTTCCTCCGTCCGGCCGAGTGTGACGAGGGACAGTTCTCAGCGTATAGGTAGCGGGACGAGTGGTAGTGTGGTTTGTAGTGACCACAGCACGAACCATGCGCGGTTAGAATGCGGGTAAACGCGTCACGAAATTCTTTATTAAAGATGCTGTAGATGATGGGGTTAAAAGAGGAGTTCGAGTAGCCGCACCAGGTCAGGATCTGTAGGGAGGATTTAGGGAAATTTTAGGCAAAATATTGGGTAAATGCGGCGATTTTACGTAAAAATTGAGGAAAAACGATTATTTTAGGTTAATATTTGGTATTTGCGACAGTGTGGTAAATATGAAGGGACACTCTATGAACCAGAGTGGGTCGATGCATTTCTGGAATCAGAGCGGGTCGATGAGCCCACCTTGAACCAGAGTGGGTCGATGGACCACCTTGAACCAGAGTGGTTCGATGGACCCACCTTGAACCAGAGTGGGTCGATGGACCCACCTTGAACCAGAGTGGGTCAATGGACCCACCTTGAACCAGAGTGGGTCGATGCACTCCTTGCAGTACGCCGCGATGATGTTGACCACGAAGAAAGGTACCCAGCAGGTCAGGAAGGTACCCACGATGATGCCCACCGTCGTGGCCGCCTTTGACTCCGAGACGTGGTAGGGTGAGGCCAGCTTCTTAGGCCTCGTGGTGTCGCCCTCCAGAGACCCCAGCGTCACGGGCCTCACTTGCGCCTTATATTTTTTTTACAAAATTATTAGCAGTTAAAAAGAGGATTGAATGATAATAATATTCATGGTTTTATTTTCTGTAGAGATCAGACTAGAGATTAAAAAAAAATTAAGAAAGCCAATGGTTACAGGTCCTAACTTGCGCCTTGTTAAATTAAAAATGCATACAAAATTGACACCGAAGGAGCACCGAATTGTTAAAAAAATTGCCGGGAATCTTAAAAAAAGGACTGGAGGGTTACGGGTCGTAGTTGCGATGTTACCTTGCCGAAATTAAAAACTTATTTAAAATTCAGACCGAAAATAGGACCTAATTATAGTAATATTCATAGGTAAAATTTTCAAAAAAAATTGGACTGGAGACAAAAAATTTTCAGAGACTCAAGCGTCACGCGCCTTACTTGCGCCTTGTCGAAATTAAAATTTTCTTGACAATTAAGACCCCAAAAGTCGATAATTAGTAATTTTCATGTTTATATATTTTCAAAACATTTTTTGCAATATTTTCTATTTATATATTCCATGCCGTCCGTGAGCCAGGCGATTGAAATCTCTAGAAATGTATTTTGATGTATGGAGGAATTTAGAAATTAGGTAGTATTAACAATAATTAAAGTCAATAAATAATAATTGGAATTTTCATAATTAATTGTAACTAAATGAATTGCTCAATTTTCAAACTGTTTGCTTGCTGTAGCAGCGACGGCACTAAATGTATCGACAGGTATTGAAATAAATAGTCGGGCTTAAAAAAGTAAAGTAACTTTTAATCTCTATTTTCGACTTTAAAGGCATTAATTGCCAGAAAAAACACGGTTTTAGAATCAAGGTATTGAGTTCCATTAAAAATTATCAAAGAAGGGAAGGGCCGTGGCCGCTCTACGATCGAATTTCCATCAACTTGACTTCGCGTAGAGAATGAAGAAAATGATTTAATTTAATCTTCAAAGGGTGAAAAATGAGACGCATGATTAAGGCAATCCTGCCGCAGATTAACCTCGGATTTGTACACAATTTTACAAAGGTATTGATCTTCATTATGTCCAAGTAAAATGATGTCAGGAACGGAACGGATATTTTAATGAAGGGTATGACAATGAGGAAGATAAATATTAGGCACGTGTGAATAACACGAAAATGCTGGGATCACGATCAGAAACATTCATTGGTTATTCGGGAAGGGATATAGTGAATGAAATGTATGATTAGTGCCATAAAATTTCACCATATTTTTGTGATATAAAAGTAAAAGAATAGATGAAAAGAATTTATAGGAATATATGTAAATTATTTAGTAAAAGAATAAATGGAAATTATTTTAAACAAAGGAATAAATGTAAAATATAGACGGAAGAAAGTTAGTAAGCATATAAATTTATCTAAGATACAAAACGCTGAAGATTACGGTATATCACTGAGGCTTAATCTTGGGGCAAGCATCATCTCCATCCATAACCTCTAAAATCTAAGCACAAGAAAAACTTGCGAAGTTATTTTCGAGTTCCAGGTATCTACAAAACAATGAATGAAAACTAAAATTAATAACAAATGAATGCGAGAAGCTATACATTAACTGACGTATTGATAGTAATGAATTAGTATCAGCGATGAAGGTTTGGATTTTTGATTTGTCGCCGATTTTAATCAAAGTTTTTAAAGCTAGCCTGTCTTGAACCTGCAGATCATTGCTCCAAGTTTGTTATCTTAGCCACTCAAAGGCAGGAGATAATTTGAAAGGGAGTTCCAAAAAGGGATTCTACAGACCTTTTGACAAGAAAAGGTCTGGTTATAATTAAAGGAAAACATTTGTAAGATCTTTTACGTCAGTGAGGTGAATGCTTTTGTGTCACAACGCATTGCACATAGGCAGTGACCAACTGCTCCGTTTGCTTGTAAAATTCGAATGCACTTTTACTTCAAGGTTATTCAAATATTTTCGTGACTTTGAAGAATTTTTATTTTCATAAAGTATTTTTAAACGAGTTAGTATTTTTTTTTGTTGAACAAGATTTCTCTTTTTCAAAGGCCTTGAAAACATTTCCTCTTGAACGTTGCTTTTACATTTTGGAGAAGGTCTTTCAAATACGGCTCCTCTTTTTTTAAGAAATTTGGAATGCTATCCTAGAAGAGAACGAGCGCGAATTGCCTTTTTAATTGCGTCTGTCTACAAAAATTTCTGTTGGCAAAACTACCTTATTAAATTTTAAAATGTACGGAAAAAAAAGAAATTTTAAATTTTGTATCGGAACCTACAAATTTGCTACTATATTTTGAATTATAGGCCTTTTTTATCCACGGACTTGGCCGTTTTTAGGCCATCTTACTGCCCTTTTGAGTCGTGCGGCACTCATAGCGTTACAACAAGAAATTTAAAGCAACGTATATCACTTAACCTATTAAGATTGCAATATTTATATCTAAAACAATCGTTATATCCAATCTCATAAATGATGCTATTCATACGAAAATTCTTAATCCGATGAGGAATTTGATTTCATCCTGATTGGTTTGTGCATGGATTGCCGTGTTGATGCTTGAACGGATGGAACATAATTAGTTGAGTAAGTAATTAGTAATTAGTTTACTAAGTACTTAGTAAATAGTTTAGAAAGTAATAAATAAATAGTTTACTAAGTAATTAGTAATTAGTTTAGTAAATACTTAGTAATTTGGTTAGTAAGTAATTAGTAAATAGTTTACTAAGTTATTAGTAATTACTTTAGTAAGTTGTTAGTGATTTGTTTAGTAAGTAATTCGTTTTTTTGCGTGGTGGCCTGCACACGATATAACACTCAAATAAATGAGTGACACCTTTGCAAAACAGCGATGCAATTTTTGCCGATGTGTACGTGGGTCATTCTGATTCAGTTTGGCCCAAAAATTTAAATTTCTAAATTTAATTTTTAAAATGTTGGTTACAATTTAAGCAGTAAGATCTTGCTAAATCTTGCTAAATCTTGCTTATGCTCTAAATCAGTCTTATATCCGTTTTATGCTAATTTGGCTGAAATAAATTTTTTTAAATACTTGGACAATATATGACCCCACTTATTTTTTTTATATCGATAAATTTGAAATAATGATCAAATATTACGTGATTTAGAATAAAATAATGTTTCTGCCCATATCGTCTTTGATTATTTTTTTATATCGAATAATTTGACATAATGACCAAATTTGAAATGCTTTAGAATAAATTAATGTTTTCTGTCCAAATTAACTATTATTAAATTAATTAAGTTGAACATACTTTGATAGATCGGACGTGTTTCTTGGCGTAGTGGAAGAGGCGGGAGTATATGGCGATCATGACGCAGCAGGGCAGGAAGAAGCTGATGCACGACGACACCACGGCGTACTCGGGGCCCAGGTCCAGGCTGCACTGAGGGGTCATCTCACCGTCCTGCTCAATTTATACGCAAGTTATAGCATATTGTTTGTTTGCACTGTTAACTGCAGCAAATAAATGCAGTGAAATTCAAAAGGATAAAATAAAATATTTTAATCCAGGCGATGCCAAACTTGCTGGAGACGCAGCGGTAGAGGAGATTAGGGCGCGTCAGTGACGCCGGACTTAAATTTTTTCATATATATTAAATATTATGTAAGATATCAGTAACCAAGATCTCGCATACACGTATATTTTAAAAATATTCATTTGATAAATTAATAAATTTATTCAGAAGCGTGGATAGTCCGGCACGTAAGCTCGCAGAAATTAACACATCAGGTTAATACGGAAAATTTATAGGGGCTGAACGTGGTAAGATTTTAATTTTTTCGCAGCGAATGGCGAAAAAATTGATGTATAATGATTTATGAATACATAAGGTGCAGCAGTCACAGTCTGGCTCATGAATCTCATCACAACGATTCGGACAAACAAAGGGTCGCCTGCCGAAGACCACCACTGCCCTGGATTTAATGGACCATCATGATTCCTACCTTCCGGAACGTAGCCTTCAACATTTCAAGCCGTCCGTATCTAGGCCGTGGGTCGAACCAGCCCTCGGTCGAACGGCCGCTCGTCGACGGACGATAAATTTTGGAACAGAACTATGCTATCTGAAACCTAACCTTAGATGCGTTGAACGTAAAATTACGTAATTTAACGATGCCCGCAAGTCATATTCGATCCGCGGCCTGGTGGTGCACGGCAGGTTTTATGCAAGGCCGGAGGAGGACAAAGCCGAGTGGTTCACGGCTGATTGGTGGATGTCCGGAGAGATCCAAGGCGGTCGATTCAGGGCTTATTGGTGCACAAAATTGGTGGTGCACGGCTGCGCTACCCAAACAAACCTTATAAAGATTATTGTCGAGTCATCAATAAATCTAATTATTCAACACTGCAATTAATGAATAGGAATATTATTTATAACTATAAACAATCTAGAGTACCTGTAATTTTTACAGATTCAAATTGGACGTATCTTCATAATTCATCAAATGTACGAAAGAACCGAACAGCTGCGAAAAAAATTTTTACTTAGAAGATGCGACTGCATAAAACAACGAAGTGAAAAATCGCGTTTATTGCCCATTTTCTCATTTATGGAAAAAATGCACTATTGTGCTCGCCATGTCCGTATGTCTGTCCGTCTGTCCGTCCGTCCGTGACCTCAAGTTTTCGTCGACGAGAAAATGCGCTCTCTGTCACTCACTGCAGTGAGTGCTGAGTTTTTTTTTGTCAATTTTTTCATTTATGGAAAAAAAGGCGCTATTGTGCTCGTCATGTCCGTTCTTCCGTGACTTCGTGAGAAAATGCGCTCTCTGTCACTCACTGCAGTGAGTGCTGAGTTTTTTTTTGTCAATTTTTTCATTTATGGAAAAAAAGGCGCTATTGTGCTCGTCATGTCCGTTCTTCCGTGACTTCGTGAGAAAATGCGCTCTCTGTCACTCTCTGCAGTGAGTAGGTGCTCACTACTGATCTATTTTTGTAGATTAGAGTGAGAGACACAAAAGCGAGGAGCGACTGAACTTTTTACAATGTACAGTCGGCCATAAAATGGCGGCTACTGAAAGCTGTTAGGGAGCGGAAGGAAGCTTGACCGCCGCGTCCGCACTTTAGGGCCACGGCACGACCGTCTGGTGGATAAAAGAGGATAGGTGGACGGAGGGGGAGCGGAGGACGGAGGAAGTGTGGAGGACGAAGGAAGGGTGGATGGAGGAAGTTAGGATTCAGGTGGATGAAGGAAGGTGGATTCAGGTGGATGACGGGTGGATGGAGGAAGTTAGGATTCAGGTGGATGACGGGTGGATGGAGGAAGTTAGGATTCAGGTGGATGACGGGTGGATGGAGGAAGTTAGGATTCAGGTGGATGCTTGTCCTTGATGCAGCGGTGGATTTGAGATGAAAGGATGAACGTAAGTTTAATGAATGATGGGAGGATGGATGCTTGGATGAAAACGGTTGAACTAATTGCAGGTGGATGCGTGGATGGAAAAAAATTAGGTATATGCATGGACGGAAGATGGACGGAAGACAGACGGAGGATTAACGGATAGAAGGAAGACAGGCGGCTGCTCGATAGACAGAAGCAAGACAGATAATAGAGGATGCAAAGAAAAATGGATACGAAAGACACGCGCATGGACAGTAAATGTTCGAATAGTGAGTTTAATATTTATTAGAATTTCGTTCATGTTGCGCAATTCAACACAAAAATTCAAAATTCAACAACGGTGACCAAGTTTAATTGAAGATACATTTTCATTTTGAAATATCAACTTTACCACGCAATGCACACCTTAACTTAGGCTGGCAACTTTAACTCGTAATACAGACTTCATCTCAACTCAACTTCAACTTCCTGAAGTCAGTGTCTTCTCAATCTGCTAAGCTCAGTTGAGCGACGATAAATTTAGAAGATAAAGGTAACTTTGGCCAGCGCTCTGCATAATACCATGGCAACGCTCATGCCTCAGTGATTGTCAGTGTTATAGTTGGCCACCTGATCTACGCCGATAATTCTGCCATGGTTGTTAACAAGGTAAACATCTCAAGCCACTCAATCATGGGACACAAAACTGTTGTCAATCTAAAGCAGCATTAGGAAGATTGACCGTAGGAAGGTTCCTACTACTGGAAAACCGTTGATACGCTGTTGATAAATTATGGGCGGCATATCGGTGGCCAAAAAACAGTGGCATGGATGATATTTCATCTATTTAAACTCAATTATACATTAAATTCCTGACCTTCGGCTAAAGGGATACATTTACAGTTCAGATAGTGTGTATATGAATTAAGGATTAAGCTGGTTGTTATAATGGAATTATATTGAAAATTGGACTTACAAAAGAAATCGTATGGCTATGGTTCCTACCTACACTGTACTTATAGTTCAGAGAGCAGCAAAATAAATAACTGGATCAATTGCTTGATGCGAACACAAAATGCTTGACACCATTCATTAAACATTAATCAATCATTAAGAGTCGTAAAATATGTTTCATAACTAAAAAATAGCTACAAACTTGGGGTGTAAATTGAATAGTTTTTACTAAGAATGACGCAAAAAGTGATTATTATTTTAAAAAATGAAGGAAACTGAAAGCAAATCTCTAACATTTAACATAAGCTGTTGTAATTTAAGCAGTAATTCATTGTCTATATTTGAGCAGTAATTCCTTGTCGTAATTTAAGCAGTAACTAATTGAGTAATTGTCGTAATTTAACCAGTATTTAATTGTCATAATTTAAGCAGTATTTAATTGTCCTAATTTAAGCAGTAATTCATTGTAGTAATTTAAACAGTAACTAATTCTCGTAATATAAACAGTAATTAATTGTCGTAATTTAAACAGTAATTAATTGTCGTAATTTAAGCAGTAATTCATAGTCGTTATTTAAGCAGTAATTCATAGTCGTAATTCTGCGAAATTAGCACTTGAGGTTCGCAGAGTTTATGTCGATGAGGCCCGCGCTGCTGGACTAAAAAAAAGTCGTGGATTAGCTCCACCGGAGCTTACCTCGATAGCTCTTCTTTATGGCGTGAAACAGCCCGAGGTTATGGCATGAAACAGCCACACATTATGGCATGAAACATGGAATGTTACCGCGTGAAACAGCTGAGAATCCATTGCATGAGGAAAATATTAAGTAGATATAATTAATAAAATGAAAATAAAAATGATGATGGAATTTTCTTCTACGCAAACCTGTTGCACCGACGCTTGAGTGTCAGCTGACGCCATCAGCTGACAGATTGCCTCCAATCCATGAAATTATGCAAATTCTCATAACCGCCAATGTACTCTAAACCGTCACCTCGAAACACCAGGAAAATAATTCAATCCGTATTTTAATAAACACAGAACTAAATACAATATGGAAAATCATTTTAGATTATGCAGTAAAATGACAAAGTTAAGGCCATAATTAACAATTCTGTAATCACTATTATTTTCAATTCTATTAATAGAAAATATAGAAGCTTGAACACAATCCTGTAAGCTAAAAATGAAAATTATTTAATTACCTTTAATATCATGTTAATGGAGTAATTAGATAAGTTTCAAGAGTAAAGTAGCGGTCACCTGTTGACTAGAAGCGTTGGCGTGAATGACGTCATGGGAGCGATGTAGGCCGAGTTGTATGGGCAAGAAGGACACAAGTGCACTCAGTACCCAGATGATGGCTATAGCCAACACCACCGTGCGCTTGCTCATCCACCGACTGTACCCTAGTGGGTCCTGGGTACAATAGTATACATTGAATATTACATCGGTATTGATTTAATTATTTATGACCTTTTAATTTAATTATAAATAGACCTTAATATGACCGTGCGCTTGCTCACCCACCGACTGTACCCTAGTTGGTCCTGGGCACGATAGTATACATTGAATATTATATCGGTATTAATTTAATTATTTATGACCTTATTTATTATGAATCAATGACCTTATTTATAATGAATCAGTCAATCAATTTTGGCCTAATAATTTATGCCATTTTAGTTTATTAATAAATAGATCTTAATATGGCTGCATGCTTGCTCACCCGCCGACTGTACCCTACTGAATGCTCGGTCCAAAATTATACTATGATTTATATCGACATTTTTTCATTAAATCGTGATATTATATTGACATTACTGTACATTACTAATAATAGATAAACTGTACGAATTGCGCTCACTCATCCAGCGACTTTACTTCAGTTTCTTTTGCCTATTATATTATTTTTGAATATCATTCCGAAATAACTTTAACATATCAATATTCTCGCATTGGACGAGTATCGCATTGAAGATTCTTCAATATGCTGTGCGAGTAGTAAAATGGAATGAATTAATGAGAAGATCGTAACAGAAATATGAACTAAAATGCTTACAATTTTCTTGTGTTTTAAATATTTAAACATTATGCAGGAAGTGCGTCAAAAAGAGCGGAAATAACCAGTTTAAAGTAAAAAATTGTGTGTGACATCGCTTTCATATAACACTTCAGAGTTTGATTAATGTGCCTTAAAGTGTGTCACATCTAAGGTTGTAATCCGGTATTTATATAATGATAATATCTAAACTAATGCTGACTGATAAACTCTAACATTCAGCAGCACCATCTTTAAACTGTCAAATGATATTCAAATATCAAATGCAAATGAACTATACTACCGACCGTTGACTAGACGCTGTTTGTCAAGAATTAGTTTTAATCACAGTATCGTCAGAGCCGCAGGCAGAATTTCAAACAAAAGTCGTCGAAATAATTCTATTGTATCCAAGTGCTTGTCGAATACAGTAAGTGTTTACGTTGAGAATTACCATGTTCGAGAATAGATATTGTTTCTTATATTTTCAATTACTCTGTGATTGAACTCACTGGAATTCGATCTGCAGCTCAATCATGCAATGCAAAATTAGTGAAGAATACCGTGGTTTTTCTTAATTGAAAAATAAAGTAACGAATTTTGAACGGGTAAAATGAGGAGTGATCTCTTATTTGAAAATGCAAAGCGTCACCAATTTGTGAGATTTACACAACTTTTTTCTTACTGTTTTGCTATCTTCCATGACGCAGTATGAATCTTTCCATCAACATATTTACTGACTGCTAGGACTTCACAGAGAGATCGCTGGGATTTATTATATAGTTACAATGCTATTCCTACCAGAACTGGGAAGTATTGGAGCAGCATATATACTGACTACAAGGACTACACAGAGAGATCGCTGGGATTTATTATATCGTTACAATGCTATTCCTACCAGAACTGGGAAGTATTGGAGCAGCAAATTTACTGACTACAAGGACTTCACAGAGGGATCGCTGGGATTTATTATATAGTTACAATGCTATTCCTACCAGAACTGCGAAGTATTGGAGCAGCAAATTTACTGACTACAAGGACTTCACAGAGAGATCGCTGGGATTTATTATATAGTTACAATGCTATTCCTACCAGAACTGGGAAGTATTGGAGCAGCAAATTGTAATAACAATATAGACTGCAGTGTGAACACGAGCCTCCCTCGCGAGAGCTGTTGTCCGCGGCATCCCTTCCGGTTGCAGCATCAAGCGGTTAGCGAATATTGGGTTTAAAGCTAGCGTGTTTGTTCCGTCAGAATATCCTTTGTCTTTTTGGAATGTCCTTTGTTAGGAGAGGATATCCTTTGTTTTTATGGAATATCCACTTTGTTTTAACAAATTATCCTTTGTCTTTCCGTAATATCCTTTATTTGAACGGGATTTACTTTGTCTTTTAGTAATATCCTTCGTTTGAAGAGGATATCCTTTGTCTTTATGGAATATCCTTAGTTCGAACAGGATATAATTTATCGTACCAGATTATATTTTTCGTTTCAACAAACCGAATATTTTTTGTTTCAACAAAATATCTATAGGCGCTGAATTGAATATTTTTAGTCGGCTATGAATGTTTATATTTGATTTTATTTGAATATCTTCTACCTTGTGGGGATGTTTTTTTTTTCATTTCTGATAATCATTTCTTTTTTCAAGATAGCATTCGTATTAAGAGAAATATATTACCTTATCGGATAAATCATCTTAGTGCATTAAACATAATGTCCTTTGTTCATTATAGACATAGTCGGTCTCATCATGAAATATTAAAATAAATGATGATTTTATTGCCAATTCACTTCACATAAGAATACTGTTTTTCAAGTAACTTTAACCAATTTTAAATAATTTTGAATTAAAATATAAGATTTCATTTTTTTACAATACATCTTTATTTCAATATCCTCTTGTGTGTTTACAATACATCTTTATTTCAATATCCTCTTGTGTGCATGTTGGGCATCAGAAACAAGGAAGAGGCCCTTTGATGTGATATTAAAACTGATATTGGCAAGACTTGCAGCTCATAAGCTACGCGTCAATTGCAGCTTGACGTGAACAGACAAAAAAAACCAAGGCTAAAAATACAGGCGGTCAATCAGACAACTACTCCCTTAATAGAATTTTCAATATTGTTAGAATATTTGAAAAAAGGTAAAGACAAGCGCAAATTGAGAGCACAGACTCACTTTGATGTGAATGTATCTGTCGAGACTGATGGCGCAGAGATTGAAAATGGACGCTGTTGAACACATGACATCAAAAGCGATCCAGATATCGCAGTAGCTGTCACCGAACGGCCAACGATCCAGCAGATCGTTGACCAGAGCAAATGTCATCACCAGACATGCCACGAAGAGATCGGCGATCGCCAACGAAACCACGAAAAGATTTCCAATTTTTCGTAGGTTTCGGTCGGTGTATACGGCCAGGCAGATGAGCACGTTACCGAACACTGACAGGAAGATGATGGACGAGAGCACGAGCCCTGCAAGCAAATAATGGCGGACTCGTTAGTTTGTTTGCTCTGTTAATTGACCGGGAAATGAATGGTCTAACCTTTTAGGTCAAGCTTATAGGATTTGTGAACAGTAAAAGACACTTAAAATGTTTTCGGAAATGTTAGAGTTGAAAAATGAAACGAACTTGGGTGTTTTTGGATGCTGTAAAAGATGAAAAATAGATTAAAGTGGTTTGTAATATGGAAAATTTGATAAGGGATTGTTAGGAGTGTAATTATGAAGAATTGATGGAGATGATGAAATGAAGGGCAAAAATATGATAAAGAAAGAAACAATACGGATCTAGTGGAGCTAGAAAGAAAACACTATTGGCACAGAAGTTGCGCGGTGTTCACTAATTAAAAAAAATAATGGAAAGAAATTAATGGCCGAATAAAATGATTTGATTTCTTCAGATTCCATGCAAATGAAAAATTTGTGCAGAAATGAAAAATGTAATGTAGTATATCGATGGAATAAATGTAGTATATCGATGGAATTTAAAATGTAGAGCGGAACTCCTGAGCATTTTATAATAAAATAAAATTAATTTAAAATAAATATCGTCACCGGATAATGTAAACATTATATAAAATTAGAGAAGAAAAACATCTGGAATTCATGCACGTTGTTGCCTGCTTATATCATGAAGAAAGCAAACATGAAACCTTTATCGCTGATGAAATTTCCAACTACTACGTAAATCCATTTAATTTTTGTGACATCGAAACCTCCATTTTGTTCGCATTTCAGAAAAAAATACCGCAAAAAAATGAAATATAAAAATAAAATACATTTTAGCATCACGGCTCACGCTTCGCTCGTCATATTTGCTGCAGAAAGTGTCAGGTCTGTGAGAGCTTTGCACCGCGGCTTACGCGAGGCTTTGACGCGCACTAAAAAAATTTTTGTCGTGGTTTACGGTCCATTTTGACATGCTTGTAAACTCACGATGAATCGTAAATGAGGCTAACGCAAGGAATCTTTTCTTTACACGGATATTGTAGCAGTATTTATAGAATATTGTGTATTAGACAAGAAATGTACATTGGAAATATCCTGTACTGGATCTCTTAACGTTATATCCTGGATCTCAGACAACTTTGTGAAAGTTTTTACCGCTCAAATTCGAAGTACGGTATTTATCTTCACAGTTATATCTCAGGTAGGCGAGAAAATCATGGGAAAGAGAAATTAGTGAGAAAATTGTGACGCTGAACTGAAATAAGCGCTTCTATATCTCTGCCAACCTGCAACAACCGAAAAGCTACGAATAATTTGTCCTTGTGTTGCGATGTAATAGCCGTGTGAGTTTAACTGACTTTTTATTGAAGGTAAATAATTGTCCTATGAGTTTAACTGACTCTCTATTGAAGGGAAATTATTCTATGAGTTTAACTGACTCTTTACTGAAGGTAAATTGTACTATGAGTCTATCTGATTCTTTATTGAAGGTAAATTGTCCTATGAGTTTAACTGACTCTTTATTGAAGGTAAATTGTCCTATGAGTTTTACTGACTCTTCATTGAAGGTAAATTGTCCTATGAGTTTAACTGACTTCACTGAAAGGAACGAGCGCTGTGCTGGCAAGGCAAATGAAGGCAACGCGATTGCATTCAGCAGTGGACCAGACTTCATTGCTTGTGCTGCAATTGACAAGCAGAGAGGATGAGAGTACAGTGAGCAGTGAGCGCAATTAGTGTGTAATGGATACAGTGAGCATTGAGCGTAATTACAGGCGTAGTGGATGCTGTGAGCAAGAATGCAATAACTGGCGTATGAGATACAGTGAATCACCTACTATATAGTGCATATGATACAATGAGCAATGAGGCAATTACAAGGGCAAAATTTACAGTGAGCTGTGATACAATTGCGAGTGCAAATGATACAGTGAGCCGTGATGTAATTACCAATCCAGTGAGCAGCGATGAAATTATTAGCTTAACGGGTACAGTAAGCAGACATGCAATTACTGGTGTGTGAGATACAGTGAGCAGTGAAGCGATTAGTTGCATTAAATATAAGATAGCCACTGATGCAATTACAAGCATTAAAGATACAGTGAGCAGTGATGCTATTAGTTGCATATAATATACGATGAGCACTTATACGATTACAAGCATCAAATATATAGTGAGCAGTGATGCTATTGCTGACCAGCGGGAGCGAGTAAGTTTATCGTAAAATTGGGCGCAAGAGAGAGTCATAAAATTGATGACATCACACGAGAAGAAAAGTAATGTAATGTCATACGAGAGGTTATCAAAGATTATGATGACAAGACGAGAAGGTTGATGCGATTAACCTTATGGTGAAAAAAGTATTGTGGCCCAGTGATGCGAATGCAATGACCTGATGCGTAAAGAAAGGCGATAATTGAAAATGTTCGACACTTTGGACATGAGCTCCCGGTGTCTGTTTTGCTACAAAAATTGGCCGCTCCGAAACGAAATGTAGTGACTTTGTCATCAATAAGAAAACCTACACGTCGAGGTCAGGGTTAGGCAGCGTTGTTACATGGACCATTTTGTCTTTTTAAAACATTATTTTCAAAGGTTTAGGAGCCGAATAGACAACTTTGGCCGAATTGTTGGGAATTGAGTTCTCGGTGACAGCGCCGTGATCAGGAATGTGTTTTTAGCCGCACAAATATCCGTGGGATTTTAGGAAAATTTGTTCTGCCACATTTTCCGGGTGAAAAATTGGGTAATAATAGACTTTTAGAATTGTACTGTTGCTGGCCAAGTTTGAATTATGTTATCTGTCGGAGGGTTGCGACAAAATTTATGAAATCCAATTACTAATATTAGAAGGAAAATTAGGAAGAACATATAACTGGAGTTATTAGGTCATAAGCCACATTTTTGCTCTCTTTGTTGATATAATTGATTTGTTAAATTTGTGCTTTTACCAAGCAAGAATATTAAAAAACAGCGTAGCGTTCTTCAAAGCTTTTGTATCGTTCCAATTAAAATTGAATTATTTAATCCTTGGGAAAAGAAACCTTTGTTGCTCTTTCAAAGTTATCAAAGTTTTTAATTTCAATGATCATGCCAAAAATTGTTGAAAATAGCAATGATTTCGGCAATAAATTAGTATTTCTTACGTGCCAATTGTTGCAAGAATTAAGGAATTTTCTAAAAAGCTCGTGTGATAATTAGTAGCAAAATTCATTCTGCCGCAAAAATTGTAAATTCATAATTTTAGTTGAATATAACCTTCAAAAGATCTAATCTTACTTCACTTTGGTGCAACGTAACGAACGCGATTTTCGAGTTTGCTTCTAACCTGACCCTCTGAATTTTTCACTATTTATCAATATATGTTCGATTTTAGTAAAAATTTGATATATGATAAAATATGATATTTGCAAAGATTTATATTTCAATGCTAAAAATTTTTGCCTCTCGCTGCTCTGGCGCAGCAAAACAATTTGATCCATTTACAATTTTTCAGACCATTTCGACCACAATTTCTGTCTATGGGGAATGGGGTGACATTTCTGGTTAATAATTTAAGTGAAAAATTGTAAGAGCCTCACCTTAAATTGCGCATGTTCATTTCCATCTCACAACTCAAGCGTATAAACTGAACACAAACACACACTGAACACTGTAATTGTTCACGTAACAGACACACACTGAACACACGTGTACTGTACGCAGTGCGAACTGAACGCAAAGAACAAACTTGACAGAAGCGCAGACTTGAAAAAATGTACTCAAGCTCAAACACTAACATAAACACTAACACTAAACACTACTCAAGCACTAACATAACTTCAAGCACTAACATAAACGAAGTACAAAGTGAACACAAATACAAAATGAGCGCGCGAGCAAACAGAGCACAAAGTACAAAGTAAACCCAAATAAAAAATGAACACCAGCAAAAAATGAACAGAAGTACAGACTAAACACAGGCGGAGACTGCAGCACTATAAGTGGTTTCCTGTGTTTTTTGTTGTACAAACTTGATGCCATTTTTAATAACAAATTCTCTGGCTCATCATCAGCGGCTAACTGACGAGGATAATGTAGCTTTATTTTTAAACTGAAAGGCTTATTTAAAAAGAAAGAATGAATTTCTAAATAGAATGCGCGTATTTTGAGGGGCTTGTTGACTTAGCAAATGGGAGCTTCTTAATTTTTTTTGTTTCGATCTTCTACGCAATGACTCACTCTCACTCTTATTCAAAGGCATTAAAAAAGATAATTTATTATCAATTGATTTGGTGAAGTAAAGAAAATTCCATTCATTCATATACCCTTTGTATGAATGAATGTATGTATTGTTTCTTCATGTACACGCATCATATTAGTTTCCTACTTTGGAAGGCCCGATTATTCAAGAAAATTTGATAATTTTTCAATTTTTATACACGAATTCTAAATTTTTGTTATATCTCGAATATTAATAACAATAGAATTCTGCGAACGGGTGATATCGTTGCAATGCAAGCTGTTATCAGTTTGAAATTCTTGTATAAGATTTTTTGGGGAGAGACGTATCAATAGCGTTGTAATTAAAATAATTGTCTGAAAATTAAAATGGCTTTCGGTACCACAGCAGCCAAAGATTTTTCTTATTCGTCCTTCCGAATATTTTTTTGTACGTCAGCTGCCTTACATTAGATTTCATAGCTGAAAAACAGATAAAAATCATACAATTTTCATGTGTGTGTGCAACAAACGGCCGACGATCAGCCGGCGCTGATGCGGTTCTAAACGGCGGTGCAGACAAACAGTTCTGAGAAAGATGTCTGAAACTCAAGCCGGCGAAAGAACTTCACGACAATCTGGTGATTTTTTTCGCAACTTTGGGTAAAGTGGGAACATATGCGGACAAATTTTTAGATGACCTGCTTAGCCAAGTCGTATTTCCGCGCATGTTCAAAAATACAAAAAAAAAGAATTGTTGAGGAATTTCAGAAAGAATTATGGAAAAGTAAAATTGATTTTTTATGGATGTGTGAAATGTTGAACAATTTTTTTAACTTTGGGAAAGAGAGCCAACCATACAAATAAATTCTTCAACAAATGCATAATCACGAAAAATAGCATTTTCCTTGTGTAAAATAAGACTAGAAATTTTTTCTATTGGAATCGCATAAAATAATTTATGGCACTTGAGGTAACTACGGGATTTACTGGTAATCCTGTCGTGCATCATACAAAGACAGAAGGATTTTTTTAGAATATCATAAAGACACAAAACAAATCTACGCGAAAGACAATCTTATTATTGGTGCGGAAATTTGATGGGATTCAAAAGTAAATTCTTAGCTATGACACAAAAAAAAAGTTCCTTGCGCTGAAAAATTTCCATTAAAAACTTGAGTAACTCGGTGACTCATTTAAAGTTGAGGTAAATATCTTGTAAAAAATAATTTTTTGTCTAGTACAGTAACAATTTGTTAGTTTATTTGAGAAACGAGATAACTTGTAATTTGCTTTCAGAATTTCAACCATTTAACAGCAGAAAATATGACGGACAGCGCGTTCTTGTCAAGAATAAAGGACTCGGTGGAAGAGGTAAATTGAAATCCCTTTCGGCCTCCTCTCCTTATTCGCTCTCGGCCATCAAGGAAACACAGTAACTTTTGCCCACGAAGTCCCAGGGATCGTGATCATGTCAACCAATTAGACCACAAATAAGTTCGACAACGATCGGCCATCTCGGTTTGAATCTGAGAGTGGCTGAAGCGGACGTGTCCCCAGACTCTGTCTTTCAAGTTTTTTCTTGCTATTACTCACGTAGCTTGCTTGACGCCAACTACGTCGATGGAAGTGAGGACTAAATTGTGAGTATTCTTTTTGGTGTTCGCTGTATTCAGCTTGAGCTGACTGTAGACGTGCATCACTGTTGTATGACCCAATGAATCTGGCTTCTATTCGTTTGCTTACTTGGCGAAGCGACTGCTCGGCCTGCGGTCAGCTGCTGCAGCCTTTCTTCCATCCGTCTTTGAGAGAGTAGATTTACTCATCAGCCGTCCTCCACGCCCTGCATGTCTTTTCGTGGATGCCGTGCGGGCCGATATAGGCGTCCTGCTGCCACCTATCGAGCAGTGCACGACAACGGTGTGTTCGTCATCACGAGCAATGGGCCGTAGCTACGGCGACAATCAATTGCACTGAACTCTACGTTTGCGAATGCTTCTGCTGAGCATCGGCCTGTGCTGACGCACAGGCCTCAAAACCTGCTTACCGCACCGTCCGTGTTGATTCCCACTGTATGTATCCGTGTCGCCGGTTAACGTTCGGCTGCCTCCACATCAGTTCGCTGATTAACAAGGTTGATGAGTTTCTTCACATTTGTCGCTCGCGCCCACTAGATGTCGTCTTCCTGGCCAAGACTTGGCTCGACGCTGACTCAGTTTGCATCGCGCGTCTTCGCGCCGAAGGACTCAAGGTACTCGAGCGCGCGCGGCTCCGCACTCAATCCTACACCCTGGCTACGAATTACGATGGAGTAGCTGCCATGCCTGCAGGACCGTGCACCGCACGCACCATTTTTGACATCGGCGTCCGGTCTACCACTTTTGAGCTGCAATGTGCTAGTGTCACCTGCGCCTCGTTTGCAGGCATTGCAGTCACCGTCAATCGTCTCGGATCGGTTGGTGTGGAGTGCGAGATTTTCGTCGAATTGAGCGATATCATCACCAGACTTGTGACTTTCCCCGATCATGTCCTTATCACCGGCGATGTCAACGTTCGACTGGATCGCGTTGATGACCCATCGGTGCGTCAGCTGAACGACCTTCTGGCCACCTTCGGCATGGTTTGCCACGTGACCTGGCCCACGCACAACATGGGCGGACTGCTGGACGTTGTCACCACGCGTGCTTACCTTCAAAGTCTGCAAGTCGACATCATCGAGATCGCCATTCCCGACCATCGACTACTTCGGCGGACGGTGGCATTTTTGCGCCAGGTGCCACCGTACAAGACCGTTACTTGTCGTCCTTTGGCGCGGTCTCGACGGCGATGTGTTTTGCGAAAAACTGCAGTCGTCCCGACTATGTCGGTCTAACTCATGGCTTGCACAATCAGTCAACGATCTGGCCCAACTCCACAATACCGAGTAGACTTGTGCACACGATGACCTGATTCTTGCACGCATTGTTCGGGTACTTCACCGAGTCTCCGACCCATGATTTGACGATGAAAGTCGGGTCTCAAAGCAGGAGGTTCGACTGCTCCAGCGGGCTGTCTGCCGGGCAAACAGATGCGGCAAACCTGCTGGTGCAGCTGCTGTGGCTTCCACCTGGCGAGATGCGCGGCGCAATAAGTCGCACTTCTTCGGTCCGACAGAGAGTCATTTTTGCGCCAGAGAGTTGACGCGCAGCGTAGCGACCCTCGAGCGCTGTGGCGTTTGATGGATAAACTTACGAGAAGAAGTAATACAGATGGTTAGGTTGACGTAAGCGTGGAGGAATTCCATGCTGTTTTTAAAAACAAATTTTCTGCTGTGCGAGCGTCATCTACCGATGCTCTGTCGGTAACATTTGCGCCGTGCTTATTCGAATGCGTACTCCAAGAATTCACTTGCGTCACAGCTATAGTGACATCGCTATAGTGCGCGCGCTGCCTACCAAGCAGCGTGCCAGCGATCATCTGCCCACGTTGTTACTTAAGGGGAATGTTGTAACCCTAGCACTTTTTTGTCAAAAATTTCCACCGCTGCCTCATTGACGGTTTTGTTCTAGTGAACTTCAAGATAGCTTACATTACGCTTTGAAAAACCAAACCTTGACGCTTCTGATCCCCAATCATAGCAACCCATTTCCAACCTGTCGATTTTGTCGAAACTCCTGGAACGCGTTGTGTCCTGAAAACTGTACAACCTTGTTCAGCAGTCCGGTCTGCATACCGTCATATCCACTCGACGGAAACCGCTCTGCCGAAGTTGTTATCAGATATTCTGCAAGCAGTTTACTGCGGTGACATAGTGCCCCTGGCTTTACTCGACCTTTCGGCCGCGTTTGACACGGTCGACCAAGCCTCTTTATCGCGTTGACTTGACGTATCACTCGACCTGCGCGGCACAGAGCTGCGGTGGTTCGAGTCTTATCTTAGCAATAGATTCCAATGCGTTAGACGCGGGAACCCTTCTTTCACGCCATCGTTGGTTACTTACGGCGCACCACAGGGATCAGTCCTCGACCCGATCCTCTTTCTGTTATATACTGTCGATGTAGTGCACATAGTTGATTCACATAGTTTGAATTCGCAGATGTTCGCCGACGACTCCCAAATTTATGGCTACTGTGCACCGGCTGACGCCGCAGCGTTACAGGTCGGCATGGACGCCGTCGCAGACTGGATGCGCTCCGATCTGCCTTCTAGAAGACGATTGCGTTCGTCATCAACAGCGGACCTCTTCCTTCCATCTACTCGTCTATCTACCTTCGTCGACAGAGCGTTCCTGGTCACCGCCGCCAGAACCTGGAACAGTCTGCCGGCTTCCGTAACTTCGGCTCCTTCTTTGCCGGTGTTTCGTCGACGCCTGAAGACTGAAATTTTCCACAGAGCCAATGCATCTCGTGCTTAGTCATTTTTATCCGTTCTCATCGTTTCTCATCGAGAAGTAGGGAATTTCAGGGTAAAAATTTGTATAAGGGGGAGAAGTAATTTTTAAAGCATCTTTTTATAATTGCATTAGAATTAGTGTCAAATATGAGTAGATGTAAAAAGGACTTAATGAAAGAAAAGGACGGATAAAAAAATCTGAAAAAATCCTCATAAGATGATATGAATAATTTAGAAGACGGCTAAAAAATGACATATACTGTGATGTGAAAAGTTTGACTATGAGGCCAAAGCGAGGCGCAATAGGATGATCGTGGTAAGTTATTCGAATTTAAGGGTGAGCTTGAGTAAGATGGTAAGCATAAAGAGAGAAAATATTTCGTGCGAAAATTTATTTACCTTGCAAATTGAGGGATACACTACTTTAAATATCAAACTTCAATTCTCTTGGCTCATGATGTAATTTATACATATTGTATTTTATAAATTATGCACAGATTATAACATGGCGTTCTTAACTCCTAATCGTAAAAAAATATAACTCAGTACTCACTGCAGGAAGTGACAGAGAGCGCATTTTCTCGTCGACGAAAACGTGAAGTCACTGACGGACAGACAGACTGACAGACGGACAGACAGACGGACGGACATGGCAAGCACAATAGTGCATTTTTTCCATAAATGAGAAAATGCGCTAAAAACTATATTTCATATACACCAAATTTCTCACCGATGATGGCTTTGGCGACACTATCGGAGATGTCTGGTGTGGGTGATGTGGTCAGGAATGAGGCGGTGGTGGTGAGGAGGGGTGGAGTCACCACCATTTCCACCTGCAGTGTCACCACTCAGCCGCACACGCACGTATTTCTTCACCACCAAACTCCAACACACATTGTCTTCGCTTCCAATTTTTGAATGACGCTTATTTTTATCGTTTTTTTCATATCTGCTATTTTTCATCACCAATAAATAGCTGTTATATTTATTCTCTTTACGTTCTATGGTTTATGATTTTCAAAATTTAAATATTTGTTTACATTTTTTAATAAGTAAGTGATCGTTAGGAACGTTTCATAATTGTAAGAAAAATTTTAATTACGAATATCTATTTTTCGAGCGAACAAATTATTTGTAATAGTTAAAGAATTCAAACCTTTTGCTAATTGAATACAAATGCAAAATCTTAAATGCCACATATTTATTAGATGCTGGGTTTAATTTGATCTTATTTTATTTTACATTTAACATCACTCTAATGTTGAATGTCTGGCACGATTTATTGATGGTTTGGAAATGATGGTCGACGTTGTGACGATATTTTTTAAATAATATATATTTACTCAGTAGCTGTTTGCAAGAATCAATATTATTTTACATGACTCTGTGGAAAAATTTCATAAAAATTATAGACATTTACCGATTATAAAATTAATACGTTCATAATTATTTTACTATAATATAAGGTCCCTAAATTATCATGATAAATATATATTTTGACCCTATCGATTGAATAAATAAGGAGACATTTTTTACTAAAAGCCTGCCGATCCGTAGATTTATTCAGCTAAGCAGTATTAATTTTTTGGAATACGGGTTATTATTTTCCACGCTAGTGGCGTTTAAACAACTGGGAAAACATGACTCAATTATTTTCACTTCCTCTGATATCCTACAACAATAGAAACACAAATCACTTTCTCTGTTGAAAATACAATTACAATAGTGAATTCACTATTCACTCTTTCCACACAATTACAATATATAAAATCGTACAAATAACTCAGAAATTAATCATTTCATCGCTGACTAATTCACTTCCCGATTTATCTTCAATTTACAGACACTTTCCAGAAATAAACAGTACATAAATATTTGCATATAAGTTGATACGTTCTGTCCCTCTTCTAAAATTTGATTACACTGCCCGTCTTCAGTCGTCCTTCTTCTCAGTTGTGTTTTCTGTAAAGAAGAAGAGAATAATTGTTAAATTCAGGAGATTGTTATGCAGATGACATTTTTAATATGCAGACGACATTTAAAATTTATTTAGAGATCGATAACGATACCCAGTTTGTTGACCAGAGATGCTTGAATTTTTTGTTGAAATTAACATTGCTGGGGGTTAATTTGAGCCGAAAAATTGCTTAGATTATTTTTTTACTTAAAAAAGTAATTACAAAGTTTTAGCTAGTTTTTTCTTAAATGTGTAGTAATTATGAATGAGTTTATGTAATAAAAAAAGTTTTAGCGAGAATACGTATAAAATATGTATGGATTAAAAAAGCAAGTCATTTTTAGACGCCAATGATAAGCTTATAATGAATAAATTATTGCAAAGAGTAAGTATGAACGTTACTTTAGAACTGAGATCTACCAGTATATGAACTTTATGACTCATGATGATTATAAATCAAAAATAACCTCATCACACTGATGAAATTAATAATAGCCAGAATAAAAGCTAATGATACACGAAATCGCAATAATGACTTGAGAAAAATGATTAGATGGATACAGCGATTATTTTCTTTATTAATCGGAAGATTTTTTTATTATTCAGATGTTCGATTGATTTAATATACATATTTGGTTAATTGATTCGTGGTTGAATTTTATCAGCCAGCCAGTCTAAAAAAAACCTGGAGCGGCCAATTGGAAATGATTAAACATTATCAATAGGCCTAATTTGGATTAAAAACCCTATTTTACAATTCTCGATTCCTATAAACTTTTTTTTATTTCATTATCCCAGGGAAATATAATGAATTCTTCGTCTTGCTGAATGAAAATATTAACAAAAATTCATGATTCACATTTTGAACACCAGAGAAAAAATGCATTCTACGATTAGGAATTCAAAAATAGTTATGGCACAGCGACTTTAAATATTGAGAAAGCTGAACGAATAATATTGAATACAATTTGTAATAAAATTGTACGCGGGAAAGATGAAGATTCACACACGAATTATCATTTTTTCTTATATAATTGACAGAAAGTTTAGCAAAATACAGGGAAAAATGAGGCAGGCTACTTTTGAATGGAAAATATATAGAATCCTTTCAAATGGCCTATTCATAGCCTTCAATAGTAACGGAAAATGGTCCCGTCATTTGACAGGACCAACAACGCTAGAAATCAGCGGCTTTTCTAGTCATTTTATAAATAAGAGAATGGGGGCGGTATTTTTATACCGCAACATGAAATGGCTTTCAGTGCTGTTGCTTCAGCGTTAAGTGCATTGCAATGTTGGATATTTGAAGCAACACGAATAACGTTATGCATAAAATCTTTTACGCATCGTTGAGGTAAGGCGCGTTGAAAATGAAATCAAATGCGTTATTCTTGTTCGTTGACGAAATGAAATTGGGAAATGCTTTTCGTGGGTTTAAAATAAAAAGAATTTTTTTCTAGCCTAAAAATATTAAAGCATTTTCATTGTTTCTATTAATTTCTTCCACTGACAAATTCACGACAAAGTTTTGAGCATTTTTTAATGAGAAAATTTTGGTTCACTCATAGCCATTAACAGAACTGAGTGTGTTTCTATTACTGCAAAATGTATATGAAACACACTCTGTATATTGTATATTATTGCAAAACGACTTGCCAAAAATGTACGAATAAGAAATTTTGAATTTACGTCGCTAAATTACTACGGGATTGTAATCTAGTTGCTTCTATCAGCAAGTCTTATACCTGATCGAAATCAGTTTCCTCTATTTAAAATTATTATTTTTTCTTGAAATCAAATACTTTCAATTTAAATTAAACCAAGTGACCTAATTTAAATCCATTGCGCCAGCAATGCCAGCCATTAAGTCCACGGGCTTTTCTCGCCCCGTTTGGATGCTACAATTTTAGTGAGCGACTTGTTCCAAAACGCAAATAAACTCTGGGGTCTGAGAGCTTCAGCAATTAAGAGGCTTAGAAAAGTCAGCTAATAAACCAGGCACATAACGTTCGCTTGCAGCATGACTTGCATCATAACATCTTGGCTTTCGAGTATAGTGAACTTAAGGGATGAAAATGACACAAGAGTTCTAATTATTTTTTTAATACAATAGTTTTACTTTTAATATATTTTCGGTTGCTGACAAGAGAGGCAAAGCTATATAAAATAGTACTTAGTATAAAATTAATTCAGCCATATCTTAGAGTTAACTTTTTACATTAAATTTAAAGCAAAACTATCAATAACCTGGAATTATGGTTTAGCTTTAATAAAAATCTAAGGGAAAACTATACCGTTTTAGATTAAAATGGACTTAAATAAACTTAAAAATATCAATTCAGCGGCCATTTGATGTGGCTAACGTCAGAATGCTCTAGCTATATCTATTGAGAATTTACTTATTCAGGTCTATTCAGTCATGTTCGCTAGAATTTTGGGCCTCATTAGCGGGTTTGATAAATTCAGGGAACATGTTAACCGCAATGCATGACTGGGAAGCCCTTGTAACGGAATTTTATTTATGCTCAATAAGCTATCAATCTTTAGGTTCCCTTAATTAATAGAGTTAATGACCGGTGTTAATACCTCTGACGATATTAATTAATGAAGCTTGAGGGTGAAATCCCCAGAGATTTTCAAGAGCCGCGAGCCCGCCGTGGTGATACGGCTTTAAATTTAATCAGAGTGGGAATTTGAGTTGAACGTGGGAGTTTGAGATGGAGTTTGAGAGGGAGTTTGAGAGGGAGTTTGAGTAGGAATTTGAGAGGGAATTTGAGTGGGAATTTGAGTGGGAGTTTGAGTGGGAGTTTGAGAGGGAGTTTGAGAGGGAGTTGGAGTGGGAGTTAGAGTTGAACGATGCTTCAGCGCGGCGATCTGAGAGCTGACAAGCGCTGCAAATGCAGAAGTTGTGTCAGCAACTGCAGCTGATGTATCAGCTTTAATGACAGCTCGGCACCTGCTTCGGCGATAATAACGATAGCACCTACAGTTGATGAGTCAGATGCAGTGATGGCTACTGCACCTGAGTTACCAGATGCAGTGATGGCTACTGCACCTGAGTTATCAGATGCAATGATAGCTACTGCTAGAATTCGTGTCAGATATCGGGAAAGAACTACACTTTAAGAACTATGCCTTTGGACTGCACAAGACAACGACAGCAGCTGCCGAAAATACGTTGCATGCAACAACAGCAGCTACAGCTGATACGTTACGTGCATTGACATTAGCTGCATCTGATACGTTAGATGCAACAATAGCAGCTATTACTGAAGTCAAATGCTACAGCATTTGACGAAATAGTTGCTACGAAATTTTTGGTGTTACGTCAATTCTGTACAGTATAAAATGATTCGAAAATAAATATAAATTGTTTAGTCGCGTGTTTAGATCCGAATAAAAGTCGGCATTTGCAGCCACAGCAGCTGCCGACAGCTCTGAATTATTCAGCTAGCAAATTTATTCGCTCCTGGAACAACATTTTTATTCGGTGTTGGCAACAGACGTTTAAGCCATATTTGTGAATGGGCGCTGCCGGTCAAAACACGGATGAATATTTAATAGTTGCGCGAGAAATTCTTTTGGCTTGGGAATTGCGAGTAAGAATTCTCAAGTAAGTTAGAAGACAGAAATTCTTTGTTTTCAAGTAAATCAATAATTGTTGGTAGAAATATTGATCTTTTCTTTTCAATTATTCTCAGTTGGCATAAATTCTCTAATATAAATTCAATTCGACTAAGTGAATTCCCACTTGGCTTTGAATGTTTGAATTTATCTGATACTTGCGATTTCAAATGTTCTTAACTGCCATAAAATGAAATATTTTCGAATGGAATAATGTCGAGGTTAACACAGAAATTCAAAGTTTATAAGTTTACAGACTCCAAGTTAACTGAAAATTTCAACACTCGTCAGATAACTTTTGAAACCAAACAACTTATTGCCGAAAAACATTTTCCGGATTATCAAGGTGTTCAAAATTATCGCAAAAGTTGCTAATAAACTCGCCGCTTTATTTTCTTATGAGAAACACGATTAATTTGTCTTGAACATCGAGAGAAATGCTGGTAAATATCATCTGAAAAACTTTTCCTAAGCACAGAGAATTAAGCAGCAGGATTCAAGTTTCCGATTCAGAAA